GATACCCTTTGTTACTAGTAGCTTCTTGCTACTAGTAGCGATGCCAGTCCTTGCTCCTAGTAGCGATGCCCTTTGTTACTAGTAGCTTCTTGCTACTAGTGCGTAATGCCGTTGTTACTAGTAGCGATACCATTGTTACTAGTAGCTTCTTGCTACTAGTAGCGATGCCAGGAGCTACTCGTAGCGTCCTTGCTCCTAGTAGCGATGCCCTTTGTTACTAGTAGCTTCTTGCTACTAGTACGTAATGCCGTTGTTACTAGTAGCGATACCCTTTGTTACTAGTAGCTTCTTGCTACTAGTAGCGATGCCAGGAGCTACTAGTAGCGTCCTTGCTCCTAGTAGCGATGCCCTTTGTTACTAGTAGCTTCTTGCGAACCACCCGTCTCCTGGGTGGTGCTGGCAATGGTTGCGAATCGAACAGTTCGGATGGAAACAGCATGAAGCAGCCCTATCCAGTAGCAGTTTGTATTTGTTTTGCATGAAGAGGTGCGAACCTATCTGTGAGGTCAGCATCTGAAGGATCGACACCTGGTCCATGGGGGAAAAATCATGGGTCATAATGAAAAGGCAAGCTGAACAAAAGAAACTGACTTGAATCTTGGATCAAAGTGGCTCCCTGAGAGTCTTGTTGACCGTGAAGATAACAACCTGAAGCGCAACACCAAGTGATCTTTGAGTCAGTGACATGACATGACATGAAGAGGATGTTGCCTAGGACATGCAGCATCTGAGTTTCATGCGAGGACATATCGGCCTTTGAGGACTCCTTCCAATGTTAAACAATGGAAGCAAGAAGCTTCATGAATGGCTCCAGTATGAATGGCTCCAGTATGAATGGCTTCATGAATGAGTTCTTCATGAATGTTTCTTTGAGGACTCCTTCAAAGAACTGGTTTAGGCCACTTTAGTGAGGGCATGTCTATGCTTGAATGTTGGAATGATGGGATATGATGGGATGAACTGCCTATTGCTTTCGTACATGTGTTGTTTCTAAAGTTCTCATCCAAGTGAAAGGAGCCACACTCTTACCAGTACAGGACATGCGAGATTGGCTGCCTCAAGACCTAGTTAAAAAGTGACCATCCTCCCCGCAGGTCGCTGAGGCTTTCCTCCGATATGTACAAGTGCCATCTCACCCGATGTCACCATTCTTCAGATTCGACAAACAAGGAACGTCGCTGACCTTTGTCCCTTAAATGCTTCTATGTGCCACATGTTGCCAATATATAATATATGTGTGTCTTTTTGTTTCTTGATATGTTGTCCTTTCTAATTCCACATTGGCTCAATATCCATATGTGTGTCACACGGCTTACAAACTCTTCGCACCTCAACCTCCTCCAAAAAGTTCATGATGGATGCAAGTCGCTCCTGGAACTCGAAACTTGCAGCCAGCCACAGTGGTGCTCTGTAGCATCTCAGAGTCTGTCATGCAGCACTGGGTTGACCACCAAAAATGAACAGAATGGGCTATTAAGGAGGTCAACCTACCCTGGTTTTGGGGCTCCGGGTTTTGACCCACAGCCATATATGTCCACTGTCAGACTGGGTGAACTGTGGTGCTTTTAATGTTCGTCTCATCCCTCTCTAAAATTGACAGTAGAGGCGTCTGTGGCTTCCTTTCGGAACTCGAAGCTCGCTGTGGCTACCTGTGGCTGTCGCTTAGGGCTAGTGTACTAGGCTGGCGTGTGGGTCGGGTCTCCTGCGGCTGTCGCGTGATGCATGGCCTAAGTTACACAAAAAAACCAAGCACTGTCACTCAAAAGCTGCAGGCTCACTGTGAACACCAAAGGCGAAGCATGCAGAAGGTGACAGTGGCCAGGAGGCTGGCTTCCCCAAGTGTACTGGGAGGTCAGCCTGTTTTTGTTGCGTACTCAATAGTGGCAAGATAGTATAGTAGAGGATGTACATAGTAGTATGCTTTGCTCCAAAAAACAAAGCCAACCTCCCATCACATCTCAACAGCTTAGCCTCTGACTGAACAGGGGTAGCCTGACATCTGCCATCGTCCACGAGACGCTTTCAACAACAGTGGCTGTGAGTCTGAATTGGGGAGAAACATGGAAAAGCCTGGAAAAACCAAGGAGGTCCACCTACCACGGTCGTTTTGGGGTTCCAATAGGTTCCAGGTTTTGACTCCCCAGGACCGATGTTGCCGTCCAGTGCTTCAGGGTGTCCACAAAACACCATAATTGAAGGGGGTCTCCAAATATAGATAGAAATGATTAGGAAATGGTGTCCAACTGTTTCCAATATACATGTTAGTTTAATGGTGATCGACTTTTCTATCTATTTACGAATCTGTATGAAAGAGGGTCCTGGTATGATTTGCTTGCCAGCACCTCGGATGACCTCACAAAGTACCATGTAGCGCAGCTTATGTAGACATCTCATGGGCCCAAGGCCTTGAAAATGCGCAGGAAAAAAGACCACACGCGCCTCAGGCTGTAAATCTTCATTTTGCCGCAGCTCCTACCAAGAACAAACAATAGCGCTGCGCCATTTGACCCTCAAGCGACACACCCGGACCCGAGGAATTTGAGCTTCGCATGGCGTGCGTTTCGTGCGTCCGCGCACCGCCTTTGACGCTCGCATGGCGATGGGAGACCCTGGGTGTCCTTGATGGATTTGATTCGCAGGCGCATTTGGGTCACCTTGTCCTGTCACAGATCTTCCTTAAAGAATCCTAAATGAATCCAACATGAGCAATAATTAATGAGATGATATGATAAGTATCAAGTACCAACTGATGGCTTTGGCTCAAGCAAGTCAGCCACACAGGGTGCATTGGATTTGGTGTCTTCCTCGCCAAAAAAAAAAACGCACAAGCCAACCCATTGGATTTGGCTTCGCCGCTAAGCCGACCGCTCCAATTCCGGTGTCTCTGTTTCTGGCGCGGACTGGCACTGCTCCTTGGAGACGGGCTGGCCATAGCTGAAAGGAAAGGGACGCAACTGGCTGATGCCGGATGCCAGCAATTAATCAAAGAGGCTGACCCTCACCCCAAAAACATCGCAATTGCCACGATGACGATTAGAGGTACCCTAGCTCCGCACTGCATGAAGCATCTTACCCAGATCAGTCCTTGCTTCCCGCATAGACGCCAGGACAGTATGCTTGACGCCTCTCCGACATGCGATTCCGCCGATGGATGTTTCATTGAGAACTCCACGCAAACTACCAGAATGGTTTGACATCTCCATATGGGGTTCATCAACGGTCAACATTAGGCGCTGAATACTCACATCTACTTATGACAAGACAGGTCAGAATGAGTCCTCAACCACCCGAGCTGTTTTTTTTTTAGATGTTTCTAGCCACGCTTCTGTGTACAAATGTACAAGTGAAGTTCAAAAGTTCTTCCGTGGGTCACTCCCCAAGAACCTACAGCCGACATGGTCACTCTGCATCGGACCATCGGACATATTTGGTGCGTACCCTCCCGGGAACTAACATGGAAGTGGAGAATGGCCCCGAAAGGAAGACCATTTTCCTCTGCAAACAGAGGGTTTTCCACTTCCATGGTAGTTCCAGGGAGAGTATGTCCTCGTGAAAACCCTTGCAAACTCCCTCGCTTGAAGTGGAGTGTGGCGAGTACAACGGCGATTCTGAAGAAGAAACATCGAAACCAACGTTTGGCCCCCCGCCCTGCAGCCCTGCACAGGAAAACGCCTTGCTGCTGGAGATCTCTGCAGAAATGGCGGACTGGTGAGGCAGCTTGTTGCCTGCGCCAGATCTGCTTGTGGACCTACATTCACCTACGGTTCTGTGTTCTCGTTGACCCATGTTGAGGGACCCTTGTATGTGCTTTTGAATCTGGCCGCACACATTAGTCCACGTCATACTAACACAGCACTGGACCGAAGTAAAGTGCATTCTTACAGCCAGCAATGAACTTGCAGGCAAACAAGACATGTTAAATTTTCAGCAGTAGTTCCGTTGAGTGTCTGCAACCAAAAAACCATCTTGGGAAAACCGATGAGGAGCCTGTTCAGCATGGTTTTAGTTTGACTCATGGAGCTATGCTAGCAGGGCGAGCAATCAGCACGCAAACGGAACCTGAGCGTCTAGATCCAGTGGCGCCATGGCAAAGCCGTGTCAGCACATGTCGCATGTTGTTGCAAAGAGAACACTCTCTCTCTCTCTCTCCTGGGCCTCTTCTTGTAGTATCTGCTAACTTCTAGACATCGAATCTCAAGTTACAAAAGAAACATCTCACGCAGCAGGCGCATACCCACAAGAAGTACCAGCCAGTGTGTCTGAATGGCTCCACTTGGCCTTCCTGAACTGCCGCTACTACGACCTGGCCTATTTGTCTTTCTGCAAATTTGCACACCAATCTCATCTCTCTATCCAGCCTATGTCTCTGCAAATGAACACAGTTTGGGCCAAAAGCAGGTCAAGTCACGCACTCTATAATATATATATACACTGTATATATGGTCTAGTCTAGTCAGTCATGTCTAGTCTACTCCAATCCAAGTAACAGGCGCCTGAGTTCAGCAAACTGGGGATGGTCCAATTTGGTGGTCTCACTCAAGTGTCCTCCGACCTCCATGAAGCTGCATCGCAAAGTGAATTCTGTGTACTCCAAGCTCTCCTCGATGTGCTGAAAGACCTGGCACAGGCAACTGAAAGACCTGAGCATGAACCATGGCTACAAGATGCTGAAAGATGCTGCATATCTCATGTCCTTGTCCATGAGATGAAGATCAAAACGTATGAAAACTCATGGGTCAACATAATTCAACCTTCCGCGATGCGCCTGACGCGCAGCCCGGGGAACAATGCCTTGGAGCTCTGGCCTTGGAGTTCTGGTGAACGTTTGGTGGGAGCTCTGGGGATGTATGTTTATCCCTGAGATATTGTTTGCATGGCATGTTTGCCGATCAGTTGGGGAAGGTCTTATTGGTTAATGTAGGTATATGCTGGTATATTATATATACAAATAAGTCATGTCATGTTTGATCATTTTTCGTGGACGACCCCCCAGAATCGGCCCAATGTACATTACATGAATTCGAGCCGCGAATCCTGAAACAGAAGAAACTAAAGCAGAGTCGGGAGTCTTCAAGACGGAAGATTCGTAAGCAATGTGTTCAACGTGTTCAACTATTCTCTGTCATCAATCTTTTGAGTTCTTCTCTTAGACCAAAGTCATCCAAAATATCCCTATGAGTCCATTTGGATCCGTATCGCGCTCTAAGTGGATCCTGCCCCCCCCCATCCCTCACCACTCGTCCCACCGATGTTGCTCGACGGCTCGACGTCAACCCTTTCCAGGTGCTGTGCACGCAGAGCGGGATGGGATGGGGTGGGGATGGGGTGGGGATCTGTTCTGCATCCAAACAAACTATAGCCGGTCTCTTCCTAGATGGTCGTTTCATCCTGATCTAGAACAGCAGCGAGACTTCGCGTGTACAGACGAACCATACGAACCCCGGTCCATCCAGGTGCCCCGTCCGCGGAGTCGTCGTCGTCTCGCTCTCAGGACCTGAGCCCACCAGGCACCGGACCGGCTACGGAGGCTACAAACGTAGCAAGGGCATCGCTACTAAAGGAACAAGAAGCTACGAACGTAGCTCTTGGATGCTCCTGGCATTACTACTATAGCAACAAAAAAACTACGAGTAGTAACAAGGGCTCCCGCGGCGGGAAACATAGAGAAAAACACAATGATTTTGTTTCAACGCGTGTGTCTCTTGTTTGTCGTGTGTTTTTGGGAGGTTTCAACAAACTGCCTGGGAACGTGGCCAAACATACTGTAGGTCTTGCCGGAAGACTGGCATGGAAAATGTGACCATGCTTTTCCGGAGCAGTTTGATGCAGTTTTGGAGCTAAAAACTGTTCACCACTCCTCACTGTTCACCACAAAGGATGCAAACTAAAAGCAAGCATCCTTGTTGCGTCATTAGGTGTCGATTCAATCGAATGCCAGCAAAACCGTCTGCCCGTAAGCGAGAACGGTGCCATTGTACCCGTTCAGGACATCCGAGACGACTGGCTTTCCGACCTGAGCAGAACATGAAACACCAACAATTACGTCTCAGTATCTCTCGAGAATATACAGTATCTGTTGAGTACTGCATCTGTGCCAGAAGATACAGTTGTCCCATGTTGTCCCTTTTCCAATCAAAACATGTTCAATCAAAACAGAGTCATGGCAGTCATGGCAATTTGGGAGGTTGACCGGGCGGGGGCATCGTCCTTCTGTTCAAAACTTTGGTGGTCCACCAAGGTCCCTGGGTGCCCACAAGCATCCCACAGCCAGGTATCCCCTTGATGGATGAGGTTTATAATACGTCTAGAATGTGAAGGTCACTGAGATCCGGGCATGCTCAAATACATCTTCTTGTGTTGCAGCCTGAAAATTATCCAAACAGAACCACGACAATCCGCGCGAGCCGTCTGTTGGGCGAGAACAGCGTCAGACATGCGTCCTTCCATGTCCTTCCTTTGTGTGCGAGTGCTGCAGCAGTGGAATGGACAAACAAGGGAGAATGAGCAGGAGCAAAGGAGTCAAGGAGTAAGACATAGCAAGACAACGGGAAAGCTGAGCTACCGCAGCAACAAAGGATTCGCAGCAAAGCAACAAACACTAATCGAAAGAAAGTGGTGACAAAGCAGTAGTATAGCTATAACAAGTAGCTCTGCAGTAGAAAGCTGCGTAGAGAAGGAGGATTGGTGAAGCTGGATCTATTGGTGTTGTGTAGCACCTGCAGGTTCCGGTAGTTGGGTGCTCCATGTCAATTAGACTAGTTCGTCAGTTACGAAAGAGAAGGAAGGTAGCTAGGTAGCTGGGTAGCTGGGTGAGAAGGTCGCATGGGTAGGTTGTTAGGTCAACAGCACTTAGGTCAACAGCACAAAAACCAAGTGCACAGTTGTCTGATTTGGGCTTCAACCTTCATCCCCCAGGTCCAAGTCCTGGCGCCTCCGCGAAGGCTCGCATGAAGTCGAAGCAGTACGTGCCATCCACGGACTGCACCTGCGAAGACTCGACCGAGCAATGGATCGAAAGAACCACGGAATGGCCCTATTTTCATGCCGTCCTCATATCTAATGAACTCATGGAACGCCCCTGTTTAACTTGTCAAGGCAAGAAACGGTCGTGAGTCGTATCACTCAGTGACCATGAAGCCGATCTGGGACGCCGGACGCTTCGTTCATTCGGAAGGGCCCAGAAGGCCGTTCGGTCCTGTGGAGAGGTGGACCGGACCCGGACGGTGGTGCACATGGTGCACATGGTCCTGCTGCTCATCTTCATTGACTTGTGGCCTCACAAAGTTCGAGCTCAAAGGATTCTGTGGCTTTGAAGTTTAGCTTAGAGATTTTTACGAGAACAAGTAGAACATGGGTTCTAGCACATCTGACGGCGAATGCTTTTTTTGAGTCGAAACGAAAAGAGATCAAGGAAACAGTGACCAAATTCCGTTTCTGTTGAGGCTCCAAGCCATTCAATCAGCAAATCGCCAAGCGAAAGACGTGCACGGTATTCAACTCCACAAAGATCCCAACGTTCATTTACATTGTAAGATTAAAACCATTCAAAATTTAACAACTACCAAACATATAAACCAGGAAAACCGACCCACAGATCTACCCCCAACTCTTGAATGCAGGTTCACGCATGGTTTGCCCATGCGTTGCCCCCCCGAAAGCACGGACATCGGTGCTTTCGGCCACATCCTTCGACTTGTTGGGTGTTCGGCAGGTTCCCCAGCCGGAAGCGCACGACCACTTGCACGGACGTGGTGTTGCGCGAGGACCTTCCAAGGGTCGGTGAGTTGATGCTCCAACGACCGAAGCAAACTCAGTCGTTGGAGCCTCCAAAATCCACCAATCCCCCAAATCAAGTCAGACCCATGTTTTGCACGGGCGGTCGTCAAGAGCACAACTGAGTCACTTGTGCAGTCAATGATGGAGCTGAAGGATGAATTATTATGAATTATTAACCTAGATTGCTCAACCCGTTGCCTCGGCTGAGGGGACGAGGACTCAAGAGCGGTGGCTGGCAATTCGGGATGCCTGTCACAATATTCAAAACATTCACCTTGCACTCAACATGTACACTATTGTACACTCCATGTACACCTCAGGTGATCAACAAATGCAACTGCCACAGTTTTGACCACGATGCAATCTGTGCAATAATAAATTCTGTTGGTAGCAACATCACTGAGCAATCATCCTTTTCGTCTTCCATCCTCTTCCTTTCCACGCGAGGCATATTCCTGGGGTAGACCCCAAAAAGCCCCTGGTGCTGAAGAGTCTACAGGCAATGTCTTGCCATATCTTTACGAACAATCATTGCCTTCCGTGACATAGGTTTGGCTCAACACAATTGCCACCGTTTGGGGGCACAGGTTTGGCCAGTCTTCAACTGTTCTGGCCATTCTTGAGCTATACCCACATCATCAAAGCCTTGTATTAGACTGTATAAGATCGGGCTTCTGCCGTTTTAATATGTTTTAATTAAACCTGCAGGGCTTTGCCATGCCAGGCTCAGCATTTCCTGGAGCCTCTTTAAAACGCTGTTCAATTAAGCATCGCTGGAGGCCTGCTTAGGCCAAAGCTTTCAGCTCGGTGAAGACGGACTTGAAGGTTCCCCCACGTTGAAGGTTCCCGTCCACTCCAACAACGATGGGAGCAAAAATGTGATGTAGATGCTTCCAGTCAAAATCGCCACCACATTCAACGCGAGGCCTTTGCCGTGGCGATTTCTCACAACCAGCAAATTTAAGGACCGGCAAATTTAAGGCATGGACACGTGGGAAGCCAGCGAAGCAAATGCAGACCGCAGACCTATGAATAGGGAAGGTCCAGGGTCTTTTGAATGGACATGGCACGGCTTCTTGACAACTAAGCACCCTTCGATAACCAGTCAGTCTCAGAGTAATTAGTCCATTTGCATTTGTCACTGTACTCCCTTCCAAAAAGAACCACGTCCCAAAAAAAGAAAACACACCAGAATTCTTATAATTCTTAAGACACATCATCCAGAGTTCAGAAAATTCACCGCCCACCCAACCACGTCCCATGCCACGGCAACCACGGCTGGTGCGTCCCTCCTCCGGCGTTTATCGGTCCGTCCCAGGGGCCGAAGCGAGCCATCCGGCTCACGGAGACGCGGCCGGTGGAGTAGACCACCATGTTGGGACCCCCGGCCATGGGCAACATGAATGCAAAGGATGCGGCAAAGGACACGCCCAGCAAGAGCTGTACCGGATTGTAGCCCATATGGCTGGCAGCGGTCACGACGATGGGCCCGAAGATGTTTAAGGTGGACATGTTTGAGACCACCTCTGTAATGAAAGCGACCACTGTCAACAAGAGCATGACAAAGAGGAATTCGTTGATGCCGAGACGTTCGAGGCTTTGGGCTATAAGGTCAGCAAGGCCACATGCGACGGTGCCATGGGCGATCAAGGAGCCCCCACCGAAGACAAAGAGGATCTCCCAACTAAAGTCTTTCTTCACCTCAGCTGTGCATCAGACATGTGAGCCTTTCAAAAACAAGAGCTGCAAGCTTCGGTTGAATTGAGCCAAGTGGCACTTTCCCAATCCAGAATGTAATTGGGCCGCTGGCCTTTGCAAATCGATTGGCAGCGATCTTCTCCCAACCACTTCCTGACCATGGATGGTAGCCACCGGCCGCAAGGCACGACGAAGAGTGGGAGCGTCAACACCAAGCCAATCGAGCCGCTATTGAGCTCAGTCAAGTCCAGTGAATGCTTCCAACCGGGGAATCGGTCAATGCGAGAAGCTGTAAACCAGACCAGCATCAAACATAGTAAATCCAACATCACCACGATTTCTTCAAAGGAGACCTTGCCCATCTTTTCTCGAAGAAATGCATCCGCATCCACTCGGACGTTTTCAGAGCTGGTCCAAACAAACGCTGTACATGCCATCAAATAGGCGGCCACCAGCAATGCGGCTGAGAGAGGCAAAGCGATGAGGCAAAAGCTTGCGAAGGAAAAGTCTTCTTGCCAAAAGTCCTGAAAAAGTTTCATGAAGATTCCGTTGGTTGGAGTCCCCACTGGTGTTGCCAATCCTCCGATGGTCGCTGCATAGCCAATGGCCAAGAGCATGCCACTTTTGACGCGAGAATTGTCGATCGACTCCTGAAAGCTCTTCACCATGGGCAAAATGCACAACATGGTGGCAGTATTTGAAATCCACATGCTCAGCAGCCATGTTGCTATCATGAAGGCCGCCATGTAGACTTCAACCCTGGAACCTCTCACCTTCGAAAGCATGAAATACACAAACCGCGTGTGCAAGTTCCACCGTTCGATGGCAAGGCCCAAGAAAAAGCCCGCGATGAAGAGAAAGGAGACCCCACTGAAATAGTATGGAGCAAGACTGGATGCTTTCACAATCCCAAACAAAGGGTACAAGGCCATGGGCAGCAAACTGGATACCGATAGCGGCATGGTTTCAGTCACCCAGAAGAGAGCCGTGACCAGTAACACAGCCAGGCCTTTGGATGCATCTGGATGCTTCGCGTCCAGCTCTATGAGAGGGAGGATAATTAGAAGCAACAGCGTTGTAGCCAGGACGATCGCTACCTTCTTCCCGCCAGCTAGGTGGGGTTGGCTCATGGACTCGGTTCCTTCTTTTGACTCATACTTCACATGATTTTCCAGATCAATGGGACTGGCTCCCACTGGTGTGAGAGCTCTACAAGAAAGAGCCATGAGAACCACGGTAACGGGTGTACCGTGGGGAGAAGCACGTTGAAGTAATTATGGTGAAATCCTTCTGGCCCAAACGCAGCAGGAGCCACAAACGCATGCAATCTCACATTCATATGCTATCAGCTGCTCAAAACAAACAAACAATCACATATTTTTTATATGCAAACCAACAAACATGCAAAGCATATCATACAAACAGTTACAAACATACACTGATCCACCACGCTGTCAGGGAGCTAAAGACATGCTAAAACTACAAACGTATTCATATTATGAGTTACACATGAGCTGTATTTTGTAAATTACTTTATTTATGAAACAAAAAAAAGTGCAAAACAACGGTGTTCTCGCGGTATACCTGTCCTCGCCACCGGGCGCTCGCTCATCGTGAAAACCGCTCCTCAAACCGCGGAGCGCATCCGTCAGGCGAGGCGCATCGGTCGGGGATGGTCCTACCAGTGGCATTACTACTAGGAACCAGAAGCTACTTGTAGCTAGCAGCTAGAAGCTATCAGGCTGGAGGCCATCGCTATTAGGTTGGAGGCCATCGCTACTAAGCTGGAGGCCATCGCTATTAGGTTGGAGGCCATCGCGACCATCGCTACTAGGTTGGAGGCCATGGCTATTAGGTTGGAGGCCATGGCTATTAGGTTGGAGGCCATCACGACTAAGTTGGAGGCCATCGCTACAAGGTTGGAGGCCATCGCTATTAGGTTGAAGGCCATCATTGCTACTAAGTTGGAGGCCATCGCTAGTAGGTTGGAGGCCATCGCTACTAAGTTGGAGGCCCTCGCTACTAGGCTGGAGGCCATCGCTACTAGGCTGGAGGCCGTCGCTATTAGGTTGGAGGCCGTTGCTACCAAGTTGGAGGCCCTTGCTACTAGGCTGGAGGCCATCGCTAGTAGGTTGGAGGCCACCGCTCCTAGGTTGGAGGCCATCACCATTAGGTTGGAAGCCATCACTATTAGGTTGGAGGCCACTACTAGTTTTACTACTAGTAGCTCCAAGCTGCTACGCTACCTTGTCTGAAGACTCCAAATTCGCCGACAACCGACATGAATGGAAATGCAAAAAAAACTCGTTTGCATAGGGGGAAGTTCGTCAATCAATTAGGTTTCACTTCCATGATCGTTGCATATACTGATGAGTAGCACCTCGATTCTGCCGTAAGTCAATCTGCCCCAAGTCATCTGCCCAATCCCCAAGGCCTGGACTTGACTCATGTGTCGGCAATCACCCAGGGGCGGCCCTGGGAAGAAACAGGATGACACCGGAGCAATGTGACAAAACACAGAACATGTAGCAAAAGAAGCTTCCAAAAAATGTTTAAAGCCTCAAGAGGCTACTAGTCACAAGGACGCTATTTGGAGGCCATCGCAAGTAGGTTGGAGGCCATGGCTACTAAAAACAAGAAGCTACTAGTAGCAAGGATGTCTTGTCTGTTCATGTCTGGATCCACCAGGCCCATGTCAGGCCGCTGAAACAGAGAGTGGCGCGATGGACCATGCAGTTCGCTGCTATTCGCCCTATTCGCCCGATCTTACTCCGTATCCTGCCTCTGGCGGAAGCTGCAACTGCTACGCGCAATGAAACACAGTCTAACTCTGTGATTGCTGCGAACGAGGTGAACTGCTCATATACATTAATTAATCGACGCAGCTGTGCTCGGCTTCATTCATGATTGTACTCCTTGCTGCCAGTTTGAACTCTGCCAAGCCTGCCTACCCTACATGACTTGTGCAACCCCATTGTTAAACATGCATGTGAGCTTGTTGTGCTTGAAGATCTATATATGCATGGCCACCTGATCACTGAACAAGAAAGCCCCAGACGTAGAGTCATGTGACCTAGCGGTTTGCTAAGTCAAAGAAACAAAGCAATAAACTCTGACACATGACCAATAATTCCTATATAGCTGTCACAGATTGTCACATGTCCAAATCATCACATGGACAATGACAGCAGCTCAGCTTGAGTCCAACTCTTGCTATATAAGGATCTGATTCTGAGATTGCTGCAAAGGATAGCCTGCCTGCGGTTCGAGTCTTCTTTGGAACGAGTCATGCCTACAATGCTCAGTAGATCCTAGTCGCCACCTGTTGCCAGGAAGCAGAAAAACTAGAGCTAGCTGCTAGCTGCTTGCTTAGCTAGACTGGTTTCTGCAATCTTGGACGAACATAAGATCAATCTCCTGCGTGTCACCCAGAAGGTCTGTGTTGGAGTCATTGTTCTATCATCCAAACAAATCCCAAACACTCCATGTATGGAATATATAAATGTAATATGAATATACCATATTATGTGTCATACCACCGCAATGTAGGCAAACATGGCATACATGGAGTGTCTGGGAATTGGACAATGTCATAGATGCTTAACCCACCCCCCCCATGACCTCCCCCCCCCTTTTGGCGATTTGAAGAAAAAGTAAATAAGGCCTTAATAAGGCCTGAATAAGGCCTTAATGCAAAAGAACAAGAAAATAAGCCTGGATTAAGGAATTAAGGCTGATTTAAGCTTGAATCGGGTCTAATTCTGGAAGATTAAAAAAACACATGGATTGGGGAATTAAGGCTGATTTAAGCTTGAATCAGGTCTAATTCCGGCCTAGTTCCTACCCGTAATACCTTGTTTGCAGCCTTAATTCCTTGCAAATTTCACATTAAATCGGTAATTCAGCCACAATGCAGCCTTAATTCAGCCTCAATTCCTTAATTCAGCCTTAATTCCTTAACGCAGCCTTAATTCAGCCTTAA